GCATAGCGAGGAGGCGTCAGTATTCACGGTCCAATCAGATAGGACGGAAAATTGATAATAATTGACGCGCTGTCAAGCCACGGCGTGGGACTTTGCGCTACAGCTGCACTGAGAGCCTAAGCGTTGCTGACTAATCATGGGACTCTGCCGTCCCAACAAAAATAGCATAAATTAATAAAATATTAAAATTCCTATGAACCCAGACTTTGTGGACACCCTGTAACAAGCTTAAAGTGCATAGGGCGACAAAATGTATTCCAACCTTTGAAGCAATCCATGCTGCTTTTGGCTTCTCCGGGGTCTGTGGAAATTAGCTTATAACGTTAGCGTTAGTCACTGGTTTCTTCTGGTAACCGACTGCGTAAAAGGGGCTAATCATTTTCAAAAATGGAGGCCATACAAGATCTATTGAACCGTGCATAAATATCACTAAGAACAGGTTTCAAGACCGAAAGAACGCGTTAACTGGTTGGCGTGTTCTATTTTCATCCTATCCAGCGCACTGATCGGTAAATAATATGTTTTGCGTTTATTAAATGAACAGGCTAAGTGGTTTACCCATGACCAATTTTGACCTTTGTTCTAAATTAGTAGTCATATAATACTATCTACGGGCAAATGTGCTGGTAGACTTGCTGAATGAGTAGGCCAGCCAAATGGATTATAAATTTTATTAATTAAAATTCTACTTTTAAGTGGTTCACTCCAGTAACTGTGGTTGCCGCAAAGCCGAAAAGCAGACTTGAGAAATCAACTTACAAACTTAATTTAGCATACTAAACATCCTACGTAGTGGATTCTTGCACATTGCCGTTAGAGTACTTTTTACTCCCGGTAACAACCTTGTTGGACCTTTCACCTTTGAGGCAGTGATTGCATTTTGGGACATAAATGCAATTTTCGAACGCTCGTGACAAGTGTAATTATCCGTTGAGGGTGGAATGCTTGAAATACTACCGAAAACACCAACTGACCTTTAAACTAAAGCAGCAAACAGCAGCAACAATCGCCTTCCAGCAGCACCTGATTCTGTCAGGGAAATTCCTAGTATTTTCTTTAGAATTTAACAATAATTAAACAAAAATATTTATCAATCAGAAAGTCACGTTTAATTTATGAACGTAGTACTCTCCCTCCCTGTTAGGGAGAAATAAAACGAAACATGAAATGCGAGTAGTCATGGAGATGCGAGTTAGGAGGGGAAGGCGGGAGCCATAGGGTTGCTCTTCTCAACAATCCGCCTGCGAGATGCCCGTGAGCTAGTTTTTCGTTGAATTGCTGCTGGCTGGGATCGCCCGCTGGACCACGCGGCTTCCTGCGGCGTGGGGGAACTGGTGCTGCTGCGAACGTTGATGCTATTGACATAGAGTTTTGGCGGAGACTCATCGGAGTCACTGTCTGCCGAATCGCCGGCGGCCATGGCGGAAAAAGCAC